CAAGCTGTGGGAGCAAAGCTGAGCCCATTGGCAAAATTGTATACTGGAACAGACCGCTCGATGCCAGAAATGCTGTTAGTGGTCTCGATTCTGGCGTCAATGACATGTGGAAAAAAGCCTTCCATGGATCCAATTTTGAGAAAAACTATGCGCCAGTTATCTCGACTAGCAACTCATCAAATGGGAGGATCGAATTTTTCGACGACGATCTGACTATTCAACGCCTTCAAGTTATTGCATATGCGCACAGTACCGCCCTTAAGACCGTGACCATGGGATGCACCTATTCGAAACAGTTAATTGGCTCTACCTGATTGTTGGATACCATCTCCTGTATGGAGTTTCCTACCATCGCACGTTACGCCAACGGAATAGGACGTGGCTGCAATATAGAAAATGGCTTAGCGTCCTGTTTAATGGATATGCGATGAGCGGCAGATGAAATCCGGCCAATCGTCTCAGTAAATAATTTGGAATATAAACATGTAAGCACTGATCCATTGCGTGCCATGAAACGCATTCGATAGATAGGTAGCGTTATGTTAAGACCGACTATAGCATTTCGACCCAGCAAGGCTGAGCTGTCTTCAGATGAAAGGTACCCCGTAACGTCGGATGCGACCGACTGTAAACTAAGTTTCGTCACTATATGTCCACGGATGCACGCAGGGGCATTAGTGTATGAGTCAAACTTGTACGAAGTGGGATGCAATGGAATCGCAAGTAAGTAATTGAACTAAAAGGCTAGATAGAATGATTGTTATTGGCGATGCAGAATCTAATTCAATTCCATCACGACAAGACTGGACCTTAACGTGGTGCGATGGGTTGTGTGCCTCAGTGATCCACGGTCTACGCTGGGTGATGCCATTTTGCACCTTCAGAGACACTCGTACCATGTTGGTCAATGGCTAGAGACCAGACAAACTCAGTAACCTGGCCCTCCAGGTTGAGGGTTGAAGTCACGATGGATACTTACTCCATAAAACAGGCTCTCGGTAGTCAATTGCCAAAAACACGCTGAACCGCAGTAAGGGTTTTGAACCAAAGGTTTTGGTTGAGAACCTTAATCGTTCTCCGGTCTACGCCTGGGCAACCTGACAGTATTTTGTCCACGCAATACATCACGACCACTTTTCTAACAATTTCTTGATGCTCTGGCCGTCGCAGAGGATAGTAAACGGCGCCCGATCTGCTTAATCGAGAAGGGTGGATAGGAATTTGGATGCTACTGCTCAGACTTTCCCGTCTTCCTTGTCCCCCGTCCGCGCTTTTTCATCATTATCGTCTCGCTCTAACTGCACTTTCATCCCACCGTTTTTAATCCCCCAATACTTAGCCCTGCCGCAACCTTGCTTAAATAGTCGCTTGTCTTCTAGTTTCAACTCACACACAACCGCAGGGCGTCGCTCCAATCCAATCGACAAGTCCATGTTCAACCAAGCGGACAACGTCAGTTCACCCGTTTCCCTTTGCACTCCTCAATCCTTGCTAACACTGGCATACCCCAACGTCCGCAGTTTGCTACAGATTGGCCAACAGACAGCACTCGCCCGAACATTCCAGACCCCATCGATCGGTATTTGCTGTTTATCGGAAATGCGCCTGTAAGCTCCGTGTTTACGCTGCGATCCTCCTCATGCGACACTGGCGGCACATTCTCACTGCGCCTGTCTGGCGATGAGGTAGCTTCAAATGCGGGTCAAATGGCATCGGCATTGTTTTGATTCTCCGGGATGAACCTGTCCTGATCAACTGGATCCCTGTCAACAGTCAGATGTGCGCAGTTAGATTACCTGGCTTGTTCCCGACTTCGAAGTCGTGCGGGGACAAACGGTGCCTGTTTGTCATTGCGGCTTATGCCTCACAAACAGCAGTCCTGATTCAGTGAAAGATGATTCCTATCAGGATCTTTACGATCTCCTTCGTTACAGAAGACGCACAGATACTGTGGTGAAGACTGATGATCTAAACGCCTGAGTCGGAATATTCTCCTCTGATAAGCTTCACCTGGGTGACCGACATGGTGCAGCCTCCAAAATGATAACGGTGAGCGATTGCTACACTCGTGTCAAGATTCTCGTCCATTTCTTGCAGGCACTACTTTCGACAAAGCACCCGCAGAAGCGTGACTTGGCGCCCACCAGCCTCGCGTTAGCCATGAACGCAAATCGATCAGATCGCGGTCAGTTACCGCTGGAAGACTGTGTCCAAAACAGTAGCTCGATTTGGAGCACGAGCGTAGACTTTGACCACGCACTTGTCTGCGCCGACCTCCGGGTGTGTTACGGTGGACATCTTCACCGTCAATGTCAACGGATTGACACCAGTCAGCTAGCGAAGCCAACTGTTCTGAATGCGTATCAAAATGCGCTGACATCGAGGCTGAGTAAGCGCCCACTGAACACCATCGAAGATCACTGGTTGCATATTCGCCAAACCTCACTATCAGCAGGCATGTGTTCCTGTGGCAAATCAAATTGCCAACCTAGACATTGGGTTTCTACAAAGTCTCTGGAACTTATAGATGCTCGCCGACTTATTCCGGCTGGAAGTGAATACCATGAGGTTCTCAAAAATCTCAGGGAAAAAAGGTGTGTTAGCCTGAAGAAAGACCGCGAAACCTGGTGGTCTCATCGTGCCTAGGAGATGGAAGCAGCCGCTACTGTTGGTAATCATCGTAAGCTATTCCACTGATAAGACTTTAGGACTTAAGAATACGATGGAGGGTGGGTCGATAGTCCATTGCGATTTAGGATCCATCCACCGATGCTTATCAACCCGGCCGGAGTAAGACTGGACGCCAGGCAATAGACAGCCCTACTCCGTCTATCCTCTTCGCGCCTTGGTTATCTCTATAGCCTAAGCAAACAGCCTTTGTTTGGATGATCGTAATCCCGTCCTGATAACCACCACATTTTCCAAGTCAATTTCGTGCCCCGTGTCTGGCGCATGCATTGCTATTGCCAAGTTTCTTAGTAGAGCTCTATACTTTAGCTCATTTCGCGGAGGTTGTAATTTGTATCGCCTATGTTCTGAAATCCTTCTACGTAATTCCGTCGCTGTTTGGCCTATATACACTTGTGTACAATCTTCACATGGAATTTTGTAAATGCAGTTAGTTGTTCTAGCTAAAGGAAGTGAATCATTTAGATGCACAAGCGTAGATCGTAGCGTTTGACCCTTCTGGAAGACCACCCTTGTCTCCTTATTCAGTACCCCCGAAGTTTCTTCTTTATACGGAATACTCACTGTCGCTCTCTAGTCTGTGGTTGGTGTTTCGCGTGCGTTGAGACATTTCTGTAGCTGTCGTTACACCAACTGTTTCGGATATCCGCTAACTATTTAGTTTTCATCGCTCCCTCTGCGCTGCTTTCTTATCTTCTTCCTCTGTGCATAGAGCACTTGCTCTGTGAAACCGTGATGAGGCGATTCTCGCGTACACGTGCTTCGAGTAGCTTGAACTATAGTTATAACAGTGATCAAGTTCCTTGCAACGGACCACTTAAGAATGCTGACCACACATGTGATCATCCTCGGACCAGCAATTTCTGTTCCCCATATGAACCTGACTGAAACAAACCACAGTGTACACACGAGCCTAGTGACTTCTGAGCGCTGTAATCTTTCATTGATGAACTGCAAATTGATTAGGCTCTGTATGTAGCTTAGTCATGATCGTTGTAAAATGTCAATGTTTAGCTAATTCACTTCGCCTGAGCAATCTTCTGTGTCAAAAGCGAAACGTTGTGTATCATCATAAATACATTAACGGGTCGTCTAACAAGCCTTCTGAAATAATTCCTAGGCTGTTTTTCAAACATGGGCATCCGTCACTCAAATACCAATTAACGCTACTCAAAACCGATAAAATTCGTTCAACCCCGGTTAATATCTGACAAGATGATATATAAATTGGGTGCTGCCCAACTTAAAACGCTGTACTCCACGACGCGTTACAAGCTTATTTAATCTTTTCTGTTTGAGATAGCAGGCCTCGAAGCCGGGACTGATTCGTCATTACCCGTTACGCCAAGAGTTGTCCGTCATGATCGGTTTGCTAAACAGGTAGAGGTCTCAACTAACATCTTAATGGTCCACGGTTAAAGGCTTGCCAAATCTAACTGGTGTTATCGAGTAAGATCGAAACGGGTTCTGGAGTGTAATGTTACCGGACAGACAACATTCAATTTGCTTCTGCATCAGGTACGGCCATTGTGATCTGTTTAACAAAGGTGCACTTCAATGTAAATCGCGGTTCACTTAGAGATCTCAAATAACAATCTAAGCATACGATTACTTCAAAATGATCCCAAATTACTTTGTTAGTATCTTTATTTTTCCAAGCTGTGAATTATCTTTGATTAGATTTGGTTAATGAGCGCTGCTCACTAACTGCAAGGAATACGACACTTTCCCGCAAACGACGTTGTTTCAAAACTCAATCTTGTGTTTTAGTTATACGAATTATACGTTATGGATTTGTAGCTCACTGATTGGTACTCGATCTGATGCAACCATCCGCCCGTATTCGAGTTCTGTTTGACAGTGTGCGGATACCGAGTCGAACAATGTCTGGTGCCTGCCCGTGCCAGAAAGGAAAAGGCGATTGCCTTGCAACCCATAGATCGAGAGTTCGAGCTTGCGTATCCTGAGCCTAGGCGCCACTGAGGACGGTTGCATGGCAGCGAAGCGTCGGTACGATATATGGCTGATGCCACTGCTAAACGATTTCTCGCTGCTTTTAAGTACTATAACTATTTCCCTTTATATTACAAAGTATTTTTCCAGCTACGTATGGTAAAAGGATATGAGAGCGCAGGCCTAATAATGAACGGAGCCATCAGTAGAAACTGTTTCTGTACATTTGCACAGGTAGTTTTATGCAGACTAAATCAAGTGAAAACATCAATTGTAGTTCCTGAGACAAACCCCCGGGCTAACAGAAACATTTATCAATGAAGATGTTTGTTACCCTATTCCCTCATTTCAAAACCTAGGTGCATATGTCCTCCGACTCACAAACGCAAAAGCGCAGGAGAGCCGATGTGCGTACCGTTGCCCGCTTGCGGGGAACGCGTCGAGAGAGTGGATCCCGATGGACTCGAAATATCCAATCCTGCGGCCACCCACCAGCCCTGTCTCAACAAAGGTCACTGTGTACAGGGTGAAGACCCCACAATGTATACGTGCATCTGTCAACCAGGATACAGCGGAAAAAACTGCGAGATCGAGCCGCCAGAGCCCAGATGGACAGAATGGTCTTCGTGGTCCGAATGTATTTGGCCAGAGCCTTTCGAAATCTGCTACAGACGACCGTTTCAGCAGCAGACCCGGGAGTGCCTAACTTATACACCAGGCCAACGGTGTGTGGGCTCTCAGCGTAGGCAACGCTACGCTGGGTGTGATTTAAATGTGGTGAGTCACGAACCATCGACAATAGTTGACCTGCAAATGCGATTCGGTTTCATTTTAAGCACATGGTACAAAATTGCGGCGCCAATTGCAATGGTGGAAAATCGAAAGGACTATTCGCTTATTGGGTACACATCTCGGTTTTACTGATAAACAATGTAGACCAAGTAAAATACGATTAAGCGATTGACTTAGTTCATATGTGGAAATAGAAGAGTAACGTGTCAGCTAGGCCAAAAACATTGTCTTTCGATGTGCAAACAGCAAACGCTTTAAATAGCGCCCTATACTGTCAAGCGCGCAATCACTTTAGATGTGAACCAGATACTCTCACACTGATGCATGGTTTTATCTATATCAATTAGCATCAGAGTGGTCAATGGTAAGAGAAATAACGTCCTAGAATGCTACGCGCGTAACAGAACAGTGGACACAAACTACGACGTAGTTAATTCAAGTATACCTTAGGGCAAACCATTCGTCAACTACTTTACAGGCAGCGTAACGGATAGCCGCATGGTAACCACAAGGCTGGGGTAAATTCTCGAACAGTCTGGTCAATCGACTTGTTCGATTAAATGAAGTTCGTTTAAAATTAACCGCCAAGAAAATTCCGTAGGCTACAAACGTCATTTTGGCGGTGTTTCGGCACGTTACTTTGACATTGATGTCCGAGATGCACGACAAATTGCGTCCAATGGGGCGTGTTAATTAGAACATCCCCACAAAGCATGACCGCAAATTCCCAGAAGCTGAAGTAGTGTGATTCGGAGAGGTATCCTCATGAAAGTGACACATCTCAACACAAAAGCGAAGCACAGTGTGCTCGTCCAATCACCAACAACGGACAGTTGGCAACCTTTGGTAAAAGCCAGGTGTCACAGCTATGCAAGAGTAAAAACAGCCTATTTTGGTTAATAATGAGTATCACACCGGTGGCACGTTTAGATCCTTACTGACATTTCCTACTCCCCATAAAATGTGACCGAAGGGCAAAGTAGGCGTTGACACAAATGTCCATAAATCAAGTAAAGCGCATCGCAGTAGACCGATACGTCAGCACCATCACTGATGGTGGTAACCTCACAGTAAAGTATAGTAAAAGGATGAACTCTAGCAATAAAAGAATGATTGAATGACCAGGCTTTGTCGCACAGTCATACACTGCATCGCATTTCCAGGAGTTGAAGTGCAAATCCTTCAGGCAGATGAGGAACAGCAACAGCACGTTTTCGCACTGCAAGCTGCATTCGGGGATACGCAGAGATGGTGCCTAACCGGCAAACAGATCAGCTAGGCATATGCCCAGCTAACACACTTCACTTGTCGTCGGGTCATCACCAATATCCAAATGCAGGCTGAAACTTTGTGGTGTGCTCATTCGGTTATGCTTAGAGGGGGGGGGCACACACATTAGGTTGCTTTGTAGGTTCGATATCCACCCAAGATAGACGAAGACCATGCAAATTAAAGTGGTTCAAAGGTGAAACGCTCAGTAAGGGATCCAGCAAAGAAACAATCGCCTTCCATCCTGCAGCCTGAGCTGACGGCTCAATCGCACTCCATCCGCATGATCGTCGGCATTGAGTGTGAACGAGGAGAGTGGTTTCTACACAGTGTTTTCATAGATAGTATGTAAGAATCGCCATGGACTGTCGTATACAGACATCAGATAATGCTAGGGAGCTCGAAGGAACAAATCATAAATGTTTCGGAGGCACAAACCCAAGTACATCAGGTGAACATGTGGACGTCTTCCGAGATGACTAGAAGCACGTGAAAGAACAGGAGATCCCTACAAACTCCGTCGCCACCTATCGTGGTTTTTCGAACAAAAGCACTGACGCAATCTCTGTCATACCTGTCGAATTGTTCGTTCCATGGAGAGTACAATCGGTTCTCCAAGGTGACTGCCACATCGTTCACAATTAACCCTCGGCTGTGAAATGTAACCAAATCCTGTTTACAGTGCCCCAAAGCCGTAGGAATCGTTGGCCCATGGAGAGTGGGAAGTCCGCGCAGATACATAAGCTAATCGTGCCGATACACAGTTCGATTGTGGCGAGAGCAACGGTCTTCATGAATAATGCTGCATTGTTGCGGTATGGACTGAAGGGTTCGCTGTACCTCCAGGTACAATTACAATTAGTGTCCACTGTACACTTTGTATTACCAGGTCTAGCGAAGACTTTTTTAACAGAACACCACTCCTCAATCGTAAAGTTATTAGGTACAACCGAGGAAATCGTTTAAGGTATTTGAATCATATATTGCTGACGTTCGCTTGAAGCTCCGGAAGGGACGATCGACAATTCGGTGACCCCAATAATAACTGGAGCTAGGCATCAGGGAGCTCAACTTTTGAGTGGGTCGATTCAATACCCACTCTCACATTCAAGTGTGAGTTACGAAGATCCACAGTAGATGAGTGAGCATGAGCCAAATGCCTGAGCTACTCGTCACATTAAATCGCTAAGTGAGTAAATGTTTCTTTGGACGAAGCGTATCTTAGAAGAACAATACGGAACTTCCGATCCTTCTTTATCCTTCCCCGAATGGAAAAAATTTAGGGTTGTTTTTTTTGGAAGAACGTATGGTCCCACGAGTCCATCTGTCCACATTGTTTAGCGTGGTTTGGTGGACACTGACAAAGGTAAACTCGAAGGCAAGTTTCGGTATTGGGCGACCCACTGATGTGGTTTCAACGGTGCAGCCTCTGAGTGCACATAACTTCACACCTGTCCAAATAAATGGTATATTCCTCGGTGAATCGAGGTGCAGTCAAACTATGTGGTCTGATCAATGTGTACAACAAGATCACACAAAAAAACAATTTGTTCACGCTTTATACAATGGTTCCAAAACAGGTACTAAAGTAATTGGCCTGATTAAGGTATTAAGAAAATTAAAAAATCAGGAACAATAACATATGCAGATTTAAACAGATGTCCAGTGAAAGTAATATGGCCACGCGTGGAACCGACCCCAGGTGAACAGATTCCATGCAAGGTATTCCCTCGAAAGGTTTCGCCCGCATTTCCATGCTATACCTGGCCGCGTGCCGGTGGGGCATAGTAGCATATGAACCATCACCTGTTTATCATATGTTCTGTTCTTTTTAGGGCTGCTTTTATACATGTATTATGAGCGATGAAGCCTCAGTCCAGTCCGTCATGCGGATCATTCAATTATGGCACTATTTTGTGGCAATGTGCCTTGCATAGGTAAAGTTTTTTATAATCCGGAAGCTATAATCCGTCACCACAGGAGATCAGCCCAGTCGTGGCCAACTATGAAATAAGGAAGAACATAGAAAAGAAGAATTATATGAAAGGGGTACTATATCGGTAATGTAAAAAATAGGCAGGTATGGTTTTTATATCGGCGTAAAAATGGATCGAGCCGATCATACGATCAAATTGTGTGGCGTGACAGCCGGAGGCAGATAACTGTACCAGTTGTCCGTAGACAAAAGTCACACAGGGAATCCGTTATTGTCATCATTGAATTGAAGTATATGTTTCTGGACTGTTAACTCCAGAAAAGAAGGGGAAATGCTTAGCCCTGCAGAACAAATGTAGCGAATGGGATCGCAGAACAATATTAGGAATTAATCAATTTGTGGGGAAAATTACGAAAATAGTTCCTGACGCCACACCCGTAAATAATTTTGCTCTCGGTTTTAAACAGAAGACGGTATGAATTAAGTTTGAAAGGAGTAAAACGCAGAAAGGGGGTAGCATTAAAGAATAGCACAAGAAGCGGTTTGTAACAGCTCATTCTCGATGATCATGTTTCCTCTAGTGCATTCGAGTCGATGTTCTCCGGTTTCATACATGATCCGGCCCTTCTTCATACAGCTTTTCATCATCAAGTTAAATTGTTAAGATCCATTGCACTCTGTCCGTTGACAGATAAACCTTTATCATTTTCTTAAACATGCAAAAATATTCAATACATCTTCTCTTTTGGCAGCTTATTCCATACGGAGCCATACCTAAGAAGGTAGAAATTACTCCTTAGGCTGGTCTTGAATTTAGATAAATAGAATATACATTTACTATCTCGCAGTTCATAAATGGTATTTACCCAAAAGTGCAATTGATAGGTTCCAACATATGCTTTTCGCCACGCGAGTTTGTGGAGAAAGCACAGACTTAAGTGCATTCTTCGCAACCACAGAGGTTCAAGATTAAACTGCTTGCACCTATCTCTGTATGAAAGAGCGGTTGATTAGCCAAATATGCGCTTCGTAAAGGCGCGTTGGACGTTTTCAATGGCTCTCAAGTCCATCCAAGTAAATAGCAAAGCAAGATACCTAACGTCATCAACCACACTCAGAGAATCAATAATCCAATCAGTTAGCTTATAGCCCTCAAGGAGAACGTTATTGAAAGGCTGCTATTTGTGAGAATATGGCACTTAGCCGTGCTCAGCATTATACTGTCTAGGTCTACTGCTAATTGTAAATGTCTCAGTTTATTCTGCATAGCCAATACATCATTCGCAGTCACGTTGTCCGTATACGTGCATTGAATCAAAATCCTCTCGGTCGCGTGTAATTGAGGTCCTCGCCCATTAACACGTTGAACAGAAGAGGTGAGAGGTCGTCAATTTGCCTCATACCTTGGCAAAAAAATTCGTTCTAGTTCGACTGAACAGCACCTGGGAGTTCGTGTAAGGTTGAGTGAGACAAAAAATCAACAGTGGTGATGTTACATTGCGCGTAGACCCTAGTAGAGTCGAGTGATGCGAAACCGTGTCGAATACATTTGCAACATCCAGAAACAGGTAGCCACATATCTTGTTTCCCAGTGACCTGCTAGGCAACGTATACGATCCCTATAAACATCCATTCCACCAGAAGACCGACTTAAAAGTAAAAAGGTCCATGACAGTGGTCGAGTCTCTGATTCATTCAGTGACACCGTCAGAAATGCAGTGCTGTAAACCAATAAGCCTAGTTCCCACAGTCTACTTGAAAAAAGTTCTAAAAACCAAAG